ACCTATCAAAATTCATCAAATTGTACATCTGGAATATGTGTAGTTTACTGTACTGGAACCATACCACAATAAAGGTCTTTAAAAGAAAAAACCCAAAGATACCAATTGTCAGCAATACAAACTGTTAAAAGTAAAATATACTTCACATAGGCACTCCATTCATTTTTCCTAGAGTACAAAAATGTTAATGTGAGAATATACATTCTGTTGTTTTAAAAGAAAAACAAAGAACAATTTTTCCATTTAAATCATTCACAAAAGCAACACATTAAAATAAACTATCTAGAACTTTAAAAAAGGAGAAAACCAGAAGTTTGCAAATTGAGAATAATTGTTTGTCTTTATGTTATACAGTAGCACAGGAGTGCTTCAGGTTTTTAGAAATTTCAGTCTCAAAAAAGGCAAATCTAGTTATAGAGTTTTAATCTTGCATTAATGTTGATGATTTCCCCTCCCATTTAAATGCCATGTTTACTTACCCTATGAAGCTTATCTGCATAAGAAAAAGAGATGAAGTGGGGAGGATGGTGCAGTGATAGAGAGAATGAAAGATGGGGAGAGACTGATGCTATATTCAGTTGATCACTCATGATGAAGGGCTAAGGTATGAATATACTGCCCAATAAGTGACATGTAATTATTTTTATGAATTATCACTAAGTATCACAAAATATTCCATTTTAATAATGATTTAATGTCTGAACTTTATTTTCTCAGTTGTATAGATAAGAAAATTTTATCAGTGACATAGCCATTACTTAGAAAATATAGGTGACTATAACCAAAACTCTACTTTATAAAGCCAATAGGAAGTTGAGTTGATTACACTACTTCCTGGGGTACCTTTCAAAGTCATAAATTAATAGACTAAATCTGTATCCTATGTAAGGATTAGGAGATTTCCTGAAAGCTCAGATACATAAAACTAAAAGTACAATGATTATAAACGTAATCATTTTGTTAATATGATTTTCTTAATTATCACTTTCAACTAATTTTTCATCACACTTTACTATGAAACATTACAGATGTACAGAAAAGTTGAAATAATTTTACAGTAAATACCCATTTACCATCACTTTGATTCTGCCATTTTACTTTACTTGCCTTTGTACATATCTATCTTTCTTTCTTTCTATCCATCAATCCATCTTACTTTTCCATGCATTTCAAAATAAGTTGCAGCCATTAGTATACTTCTTCCTAAATACTACAGTGTGGATATCATTAACTACAGTGCAAGTATTATTTAGTGTTCTTTCTTTCTTTTGAGGGTAAATTTGTACACAATGACGTGTTCAAATCTTAAGTGTAGCATCTGATGATTTTCAACAAGCTTTCGCTGAGCTCCAGCCATGTTGATGAACTCTTAGATCTATTAGATACTGACCTGGAATGAGGTTCAGTGAATATACAAGAGTCAAAAGCCATGTTTTCAGGCCACTCACTGTTGCTAGATGAGCTAATCTCCACGGCCACCTCTTCCTTGGGACATCCACGTCTGAAGATCTCAGGTTTACTCTGTTTTGCTAGGATGGGTAGTTAGTAGAATAGAGCTCCATCAACAATGGTCATACTGTCTGTTGTGTCCCTGTCAGGTACACAGCATTTGGCTAAGTGCTATGGAGAGCACAAAGGAGTCCCAAGCTACAGAGACCTAGATATGGAGTCCCTCAAAGAGCACTTGTAAGATTGGGCACTCCACACCTAAAGTGGGATGATTAAGATTACATAGACTTAAACGCCAAGTGTGTAGGAGAGGAAGTTCCAGGGAGTTCAGAGGAAGAAGGTAAGAATGTCCTGGAGTGTCTGGGAAAGATTCCCTTGACTCCACAGCATCGATCTGTCAGCGACCAGAGTGACCATTTTAAAAGGAAATCTGATCTTGTCAGTCCCCTTGCTAAAAGCCCTCGATGACCTTCCAGCATACTTGGAACACTTGCGAGGCCCTGTGTGATCTGGCTTCCCTTTCATCCTTGACCCCATCTCTTCCCACACCCCACGTCCTCCTTGCAGCCTTCTTTTCCTCACACACACCAGGCTCACACCCCCAGCACAGCCTCTTCACTTGCTCCCTTTCTGTGGAACATTCCTCCTCCAACTCTCGCAACGACAGATCCTTCTCATTATTCAGGTCTCAGGCCCAACATCCCGCTGAAAGGTTGTCTCTGCCAAAGAAACCTACACATACTCCTACAGCCACCCCGCCCTGAGTCAAAAATCCCTTGATGCAGGAATAGACTTGCTTGGCTTGGAGCAGTTATCATGGGAAGTGAGTGTAGAAAGTTTGTGCAGAAGATTATTGGAGCAACATCTGAATGAAATTAGCAATAAACTAGGAAAGAAGAATCAAAAAAATGAAAAAGAAGTACCAATAGAACTTGACGAACATAAATATATGGCTGGAAAGGCAAAAATCTAAGAGAGCAGCAAGATAGCCAAGCTTCA